CGTACAAGAAATGACATAATTACACACATATGGCAGAATGTTTAGAACCGACAACAAATGGTGTGACATTCAAAAGATAGTTGACGAACATTATTGGATTTTTATCAGGTAAATTATCTTGTGCTAAACTGCAAATGTATTAGTGTCGCGCGGTTAAATCGACAAGTGTTGTAATAACTGTATTTGTTTGCTCAAATACCCATACAGTCGTACCTCATTTGTATCCCAACCTCGGCTATATCAGCTGGACGGATTTCCCCAATTGTATATCTACCTCATTTGTATCCCACTCGATTTCCATAATGATTATACCTCCGCTTGTATTGCACAAAATATCATGCCATTTCTATTTATATTATCTTTGTCAATCATTGAAATATTATCAGGCCACATAAATCAGGCCACATAAATCAGGCCACATAAATCAGGCCACATAAATCAGGCCACATAAATCAGGCCAAATAAGTCAAGTACGGGGGGGTGTAACAAAAGTATTGCTTTTAGCAATAACAAAAATTTTTATTAAGATCACAGTCAATTTTATTTATATCCGGAATTAATACATCAATATTTAGTATGTCCTCCATTGGCAGCAATCACAGCCTGAATTCTATTTAGTATTGATCGCACCAAGTCACGATATACTTTTTGCGTAATCGCCCCCAAATCTCTTTCAAGTTCACCAATGCTTGATAGCTGAGGATTATGGTTTCGAATTTCTACCTCAACTGTAGCCCACAAGTTCTCAATAGGCCATGGAAGCACCCCCATATTTTGGTAATAAAGAAACTCTCGTGCAACATTCGATGTGTGAACCGGTGCATTGTCTTCCTGAAAAATAAAAATAATTTTGGTTTGCCGGGAAAACGTTTTACGTGTGGGAATTGCATAAGTAGAAAGTATTTCTTTGTATACATTTCCAGTTACTGAACCTGTAAGTGGAACAATGGGACCTAATTTTAAAAGGAAAGCAGCCCAAAACATTCTTTGCGGAGAATGTTTTACTGCTGATGCAATGCAATCTTTATGAAATTTCTCGTCTGGCTCTCTCCACAACCAGATTTTTGAAACTGTGAAAACGTAGACTCATCTGTCCAGATTATTCTTTCCAAAGTCCAATTTACAATGTCTTCTTTCTATTGCCCAAATCGTTTGGAATTGGAATACAGGAATGTAAATTTTTCTTATGAAGTGCTCGACAAATTGTTCGTACTGAAAACATATTAGTAATTCTGCTAGATTTTTTCGCCTTGTTTCCTATTTTTGAGAACCATAGCCTTCAATCTTTGCCTTTTTTGACTGCCGATCAAGCGTGGTCGACCTGATCGTTTTTTGGAAGGTTCTCCTGATTCATAAGCCGCAACTGTTGTTCGATGACATTCTACTACTACAGCTTTTGCAATTTCTGTATTATTGTGGCCTAATTTTTGGCTGTAATAATGCTTTCCTGTGCAGCAAGACCCATCACGCGAAAAATTGAAAATGATAGAGATTTTTACAATCCATAACAGATTAAATCAAAACAACAAACAACAATCCATTTAGATAATATGTAGGCAAATATGATATAAGAATCACATGGGCAGTTACATATTAACAATTTTATTAAATCGATCGTGCAATACTTTTGTCACCCCCCTGTACATCAAGCGACGAAGAGGAGACTGCTATTTCTGTACAAACGGGAAGAGAAGCTCTCAAGTTAGCTAAAAATTTTAAGATATATACGTAATATAATTCGACGCTTAGACGGTCAAACCAATAAAATTGCATGCTTTGAATAACGTTGCCAAAGTGGAAGAATATTTTAATAATTGAGATCAGGTGCCATCTATCCTAACAACGGAAATAAAACTTGCCATACTAATACACAAGTGTGCTAACTATTGCTATATGTGCCGAGGACTGCTCTATCTGTGCGAAATAACGTTTAATTTCCCAACCTGTCTGAGCTAATTGCAACAATAGTAGCACCCATAATTTAATGATTGATTCAATATCTTGGAATAAAAAGACGACGCAAACAAGTGCCGACGTCGCGCATACTCCTACTTTCGACACCTGACTAGAAAGCAAATTCTCGGGCTTTTTTTAAAAAAAGAGGATAATTAGCAAAAACGAATAACCAAGTCAAATTCATAAAAATTCAACGCAAGAATTACCGCGATGTACGACGTGATGGTCGCTTTAAATTATCAAGTAGCCTGACGTCCGAAGCAATTTATTCTGTCTCCCAAAATTCATTTCCTGTAATTCTATGTAGTAGCCTTTAGCACTATTTGAAGCATCGGAATTATTCATCAAGTTATGTTCAATTCGACCAGACTTCGCTAGCATACAACGTTGAAAGTTGTGAATGTGAGTGATTGGCGCTGTTACTACCAAATGAGATATCAGGCTAAAAGAGGTCCGCGCGCAATCAAATGAGGCATATTAATATTGAGGGGCGAGACGGAGCGATAGCAAATGAGCTTATTAACACTTGAAATACGCAAAAAAAAATATATTTTTTTTCGACGAAAATGCCTTATAACTGGTCAACAAAAGTTCTGGGTGAGGTACCGCTTCAGATTGCGGAAATAGGCTATATGTTAGAGATCAATTTAGAAGCTCCGACACACCTACATGATTTATCTATTAACACAAATAGTACCCGAAAACTCGCTTCTTACTCGGTCGAGTTGGTGGGCGAGTTCCAAAATTTCAATAGTGAAATGCCCAAATTTATAATGGTATCAGATCGCTAAAACTAAGGTATGGACCCAGGCATTCACTTTGCCATACTGTCGATAGCAATTCCGCTATGCTATGCGCTGAATTTGTGATTATATAGATCCTTTCCTATACGAGAAAAGGATAGTCTATAAAATTTAAACCCTCCACTTGCATCGAATACGGCAAGAAGCGCTGATTCCTGTAGCTATCTTTAGTCGCTGGTGTCTCCTCACTGTAGTTGATTCCCATAATCACTCGAAGCAATTTATCATCTGACGCTCTCTTGTTCGCAAATGGAAACTATCGCCGAATGCATCTGTACTCGAGAACCATTTTGGTACCTGACTGAGTGAGCTAAATACACGTTGTAAATATTTTTGACGTCAGAATCTTCGATCTTGCGGACTCAATACGAGAATTATCTAGCGTTTCATACTCTCGGAGCTACCACGTATGGTGTTAACAGTTTGCTATATTAATATTAGTCTTATTATTAGAATAAGTAAACCGCTTGGCCGTGATGTCTACGAGTTAATAGATAAACGCGAGATTGTGGGTTTCAGTTAGCAGAAAGTTTGCCTGACGATGAACTATTTATTGATAATTGAAAATCGTTGCTATCCGTTGTACTAGCTATAGCTTTGTGTAAGGTTGCTGATTGAAAAAGACAAGATTACAATTGGCGACGGTGCATCATACAATTGGCTGATGCAATTTATAAAAGATTTTGCATTCAGTCCGCTGTATTACTTATATAGATTGCTAGTCCCCCCTTTTTTTTCCTTTGACCTGATTTTCAAAGACTTGACGATTGCCATCAGCCTGTCCCTTGTTACGAAATGAAATACTTTACCCAGTTTGGAATAACGTTAACGGAGTAATAATTATTACCTAGTCCTATGAGAAATTTCCCGCCTTGCATATTTGAATTCGGAACCAATTCAATTCTGGCCACCGTTGCGTTAGACTTAGTGCAAATCGAGCATAGCTGGGAAACACATGCGTGTGATATTTGTTGTGACTGATATAAGACGCGATGATTCGATGTCTGCTTTAATGATGGTTATGATGGCTATGATGGTTATGATGGTTATGATGGTTATGATGGTTATGATGGTTATGATGGTTATGGACCATGCCGATACAATATTCCTATTATTTTCAAGATTGATAATGTTGTGTGCATGATTGTTCCAAAAATGGGCAGCGGATCAATGACGTAACTCCAAAATTCCCGTTAGATCTTCCCAAACATTAGAAACGCCAATTCGAGATGTTTGTTTCAAAGCAAGTCAACAAATTCATAAATTGTAGCTCATGTGACGTTTCCGTGACTGTACAAATAATGCGCCATTAATAAGGACTAACTATCTAAACATTGTGAAACCATGTAACAATGTGATTGAACATAATCGGGTGTTAATAAAACGATTGTAATGATGAAAGGAACGGAGAATATAAATTAAAACAACGTCGCATTCTTGTCGGGTCATGAAATAATTTATAAAACGACTGTGTGATAGTTAATAGTGGAATAAAATATCGGAGTTTGTTTACTAAATATATTTTCGTTTTCCACAACTTCCGATTAGTATGCGATATGTCACCATTTGCCATATTGATCCGATCGCATCCAATTCTATCATATGACTACCACGCGCATTTGTGCGTTGACAAATAATACTAGCGCAAAGGAAGCTTCCATCATAAATGCGCTAGTCAGGCATAACACAACGAGAGAGACACAACATGCGCAGACAATTGCATAAGTAGGATTATACAATATGTCATACATTGTATTATTTATTCTACTCACTCTATAATAACTTGCCGGTACCTCCGTATATCGGCGTACCCACTCCTCTATTTCTGGACATTAACGGGCACACAGACGGCAGTGTGACTCGGGAGACCCTTCAACAACTCTTTGACCAAAAAACAGTAAGATATATCTTTCAAGATATAAATATTACTACGATATTAAGTTACATTGTTGCGGTTGAGTTGAAAAAGTAGTAATAGTTGATGCTGCTATCCTCAAAGCCAGCTAGAAAAGTATCGAACCACCTTGTACGACACAGGATTCTAGAAAGTAAACAAGAGACGAGACAATAGAACAGGCAACAACAAACAACAACCTTAAGTGAATAGACAACAGAACTATCCTCCTCCCTCTCCTCCCTCCCCCCGCTCCATATATAACAACAATATACCTGCTAATATAATACTGTCACTCAATATAGTGCTGAGACTCGTTCTACACAACTCGCACTATTTTCAATAATATGCCCTCACCCGAAGAAGAAACTCAGTGTTCTTCGCCATACTCACCTCATTCTGAAGACTATGCTCTTTCTGCCTCTTACTATTACCATGACAATCCAGAAACAATGTTTCTCGATCCAAAACTAGAGGTCCTTGATAATGACAACCCGCTGTTCTTTCTTACTCCTCAGAGAACGCCGAACCATGAAGTACACACCGAGCATAGTCAGGGATTGATTGATACTGTTGGTCAGTTGCAGCAAAGTCTTGCGTTCGCGGCTGCTACTGCTAGTCAGCAACCACTGCAACAGCAGCAGCAGCAGCAACAACAACAACAACAACAGCAGCAGCAGCAGCAGCAGCAGCCGCAAAAACAGCAGCAGCAACAGCAGCAACAGCAGCAAATTAAAAAACAACAACAACTTACAGACCTTCCGTTACATCAATCTCTCCCATATCAAAAGAATGTCCATCCTTCAGCCTTATCACATTCAATGAAAAACCTTCAGATACAAGTCCTTGGAGTGCCACAAACTGGAGCCAAATCTCGCGTAGAAACCCAAATAAAATTATGTCTTCAGTTGGTTACTGACAAGGGCGAAAAAGTGCCACTGTGGTCGCATCTAAGATTACCAGAGTATATGGTGGCAAAAGAAAAGTTAAAAACAAAAAATTCTAGAAATGGTCAGGATCAGAGTGTGAACATTGCTGAAAAGGGTGTGTTGAATTTGGAGGCGACTGTTGTTTGTGCTAGTGAGACGCTTAAGCAAGTTACCACTTGTCTGGGATGTGTGCAAAGAGAGGTAAAGAAACATGTTTTAAAAAAAAAAAATACATTGGGACTAGGTGGGAAATCAAGGGTAAAACGAAATTGAATTATAGTGAAGCTTTTGTAAATCTCAGTTCCGATAGGAATTGAGATTTAATTACGCTAATCAAATTGGACATGCATCATACATTATGATTAACAAATTTATGTTGGATATACCTTTTCTTTTTTCAATTTTTGGCTTACCTGTAAACCTTTCCATCCAATATCACTAGAGAAAACGATCGCAACGCAAAAAAGAACACAAACTCAAGTCCAACCCACAAGCACAAGCGCAGCAGGAGGAAGCATCGAAATCTATGGACCTTGACGATGAGAAATCCCTAGCACTCGAACAACGCAAGATTCTTCTTTTCAACTGTAGCGAAATCGTAGATTTTAGCAGTGGCGATACTATTCTTCCTACACGCATTACCTGCTACTGCCGCCACCACAACGAAAAAGTTGGATTTTGCATTATTTTTGTAATGAAAGACTGCTCCGGCCAAGTAATAGCCCGCGGAGTCTCACCAGCAATAATGATAACCGACGATCACAAATCATCAAAAACAAAACAGGCTAACGGCGTCGGGCGACGGCGATCACGGGCTGAACACGATCGTCGGGGCTCTAACTCGAAATTAGCAGATAGAATGGTCGAAAGAACTGTGGATAGATCAAAAGAGAGATCAAACACAATGCCGATATCGATTTCGAGTTTACCTTCTAATATTACTTCTAATGGTTCTGCAGCGTCGGCTACGAATACCTTTGCACAACCAAGGTGTTTCGGGGTGGGAACTTCCGGGAAGCAAAAGAGACAAATTATTAAGCAAGAACCTCAAATAGGCAGGATTATGCAGGGTAATGATGAAGGAGGACATGAATTGGAAGAAGATGGACAAATTGGACTCAAAGTAGAGAATGAAAGGCAAATCCAGACTTTGGGAGGCTATTCTACTTCCCCATCGACGCCTTTGTCGCCTATTTCTCCCAGCTCCCCCCGGCCTGCGTCGGCACCTTATCACATTCCGGCCAAATATGATCGTAATGGTGAGTGGTTAGATAAAGCCCTGAATTTCTGTTCAGTTAATCTTCTCATCTCACTTTCCATCTCATTCCAGCCACATTACAGTCTCAAGGCATAAACAACCTCTATCCGCTCACTCTACATCAATCCATATCCTCTCCTTTAACACCAACCGCGTTTCCACTCTCTCCCTCTCCAACTCAACTTTCACTCAATCTCCAACACCACATACCGAATAATCCAGGCATAATGCCACAGAGCGTCTACGGAAACACCATGTTCCAAAATCCGAACGTGGGGTTCGGACCCGTTTCCAGGATCAGTAGATTGATTCCGAGCGAGGGACCAATTTATGGTGGCATAGAGGTCACCGTTCTTGGAAATAATTTTTATAGTGAGTATTTAGATTACGGAGGGTTTGAACCGATTTGATAACAAATTGGAAACCGACCACATAATATGTAAAGATACATACAATAATAAATCAGCTCAAGCTGCCAATTCAAATTTCAAAAGTTTAATGCTAGACACTAATATCAATCTTTTTCTTCTTCTCATAAATTCCCATTTGTTTTGTTTCTGATGTCCTAACCTTCCCCATTTTTTCGCAGATGGCTTGACATGCGTATTTGGTGACACACCTGCCATCCCGACACAATTCTGGTCTTCTAATACTTTAGTCTGTCTTTTACCTCCATCTCCGGCGCCGGGTCCAGTTATCGTATCTTTCAAAGAATTCCCGATAAATCTGATGGACAGTCAGAATTCAGAAGTTGTGGTGTTCACATATAATGATGGTATGAAAACTCTGTATTGGAAGAGGGGGTGGGGGCAGAATTTTTTTCTAACATATACTTTTTGGCAATGAAAACCTTTAACAAACTTGTAGATTCTGATAGAGCCCTGATGGAACTAGCCCTACAAGTAGTCGGAATGAAAATGACCGGGAAGCTCGACGATGCACGCAACATTGCCATGCGCATCATTGGTGACACTTCCACCAACTCATCCCATTCGCCATCTGCATCTCCATCAGGCACCACTCACTCCATGAACTCCACAATATCAGCAATCGTTCGAAATGCTTCAATGTCCAATAATCTAGAGGAACACATTATTAAAACGATTGGTTTGTTGGACGTCGAGACCGAATTTGAGGATTGCATTTCACTACAAAATAGTACGAAACATACAATGTTGCACTTGGCGGCTATGCTAGGATTCGCAGATTTGTGTAATGTGTTGATTGAACGAGAGATTAATTGGGAAACACAGGATAATTATGGATTTACTGGTACGTTTGTTAATGATAGAGAGAGAAAAGGGGAAAAGAATTGGAAATGTAAAGTTTGTCATGTTGACAACTAAATTTTCAATTTCAGCGCTTCACTATGCCTCCTGGACTGGAAGAACCGATATTGTTAGATTACTTGTAGCAGGTTTGTCTCCCTTAATACTTGTATTGTGCTGTTCCTGTCACTGTCTTCTCACATTTCGTAATTACTATCAGCTGGGGCACGTGATGATATCCGTAACGTGTACGACCAACGTGCATTGGACCTAGCTGCTTCTCGTGGTTATGAGGAAATAGTTAACCTCCTCTTTGAACAACAACACGATTCTGGTGTTTCTCTTTCTCCGTCATCGTCTGAAGAAGATGCTTCTTTTGTCGAGTCAGACGACAGTTGGCCTGATTTTGACAGTGAGATAGAGATTGAAGAGAGCGAGGGTGAAGATGAACAGAGCGGTATGAGTGACTCGGATGTTTCGAATGAGAGAGATATATCAGAGAGAAATAGTATAGAAATGGCTATACATAAAGCGGATATTATGCGAGAAACTGAGAAGATGGCAGCTTTTGATAGTGATATGAAAGGCAAAGATATTCCAAGCGTTCCAATTACATGGGTTGATCCCAAAACTCCCACAGAAAACAGTCTATCGGCAGAGAATATTCTTGGCACGGATGAAATTGTCGATGCCGAACCAGTAGTAGACGACAAAAAGTCCAAGCAACCGCTGACCGACTTTGCCAATGACCTTGCGTCAGCATCGACCATCTGGCTTCAAAAAACTTTTGCTCACATGCATATGCCAAATATCAGCAAACCGCCACAATTGAATATTCCGCTGCCAAACATCAAAATGCCTAATTTGCAGATGCCCAATCTACAAAATTTCTCATCTCCCAAATTCACATCACCAAAGTTCTCGACTATGACGTTTACTTCAAAAATGTCGATTCCCAGGCCGTCTATGCCGAGCATACCGTCTTTGCACATGTTTGAGATGCCTGCATTCCCGGCAGTGATGGCAGCTTTCCCTGCGATGATAGCGTCGTCGCCATTTGCTAATTTCAGTCGCGAGGATAGAACAAATGGACCATCCTCGGATCCATCTATTGAGCAAGTAACATCTGTTAATAACGCTTGGGAACATTATTTCAAATTTACTAGGAAACAATCGGATGGAAGTGATGGAGATAAGAAAGAAGGGGGTAACATGTTTGGAGGTAACATGTTTGGCGGTAATATGTTTGGCGGTAACATGTTTGGAGGTAACATGTTTGGCGGTAACATGTTTGGCGGTAATGTGTTTGGGTATACGTGGCCATTATGGTATAACTCGGAAGGACAGCAACACGTTCCTATGTATCCACACCAGCCGGGAGAGGGTACTTCGAATGCTACGCCAGCTACTATAAAGAGATCCAAGAGGTTAGTTGGACATGTATATGGAATGCCACGTGTGGATGAGGCTGCTCTCGGAAGGTACAGAGAAAAAATTATAAGGTTGAAGAAAGACCGGATGCTGTTTCTGTTCTGGGTGCCTATGCTGTTTGGTAAGTTATTGAGAATGTGTGCGATGAATTACCTGCTAGATGGATGCTTCTGGTGAATTTTAAACTCTAATATTTTTCACATTTTTCATTCACAGCAATGCTTGCTCTTGCGTGGTTCCAATTTCCTTCTATCCCATTTGTACGCTAGTATTCTTTTGTATTTATCTTTCTTACTGTGAATTAATTTTTATTACCCCTTACTATTATCTGCTTTGTGTATTATTTTTGTGCTTTATATATTTTCAAACTTTTTTTTGGTTAGTTTGTATGAAATATCTAGTTTAACCAACCGACCATCAACCGTTGAACACTTATAACTCCCAGACAATCGCGAAAATACTTGCACTTTTTGCGGACTGTTATTCCGCACTGCACCAGTTTGTAAACAATAAAAAATATAGAAGTGCTTTTACGGATATAGTGTGAATGTGTGCGCTGCAATTGTAATATGAATAAATGTATTCTGTAAGACACCCCATCAGGAAAGGCGCCGTAATTATTATTATAAGTTTAATCGCTGAGAGTTAATACGTTGGGAATTATTACAAAAAGATCATGTTGCTTTCAAGCTTTAAAATGTTATATATTCTAATCGGTTTGCTCGTTGTAAAATTAGAGCAATTTAAACAAATGTCCATATGTACTGTACATCAATATACACGTGTACCTGGGTGACCAGTAAAAGTTATTTTTATGTATCAGCTTGGGCCATCAAGAAACTGAAACCGTCCTGTGATTTTACCAAGAATAGTTGCTAGTGTGATAAAAACAGTAAAGATTATCGAATTATAGGATTTTAGCACGTGCAAAATGCCCTTTAAAGAGATACATTGACAAACTCTATACCAGATACGATAGACACGTTCATGATCGCATTCAGTTATCAGTACTTTCACATATGAGGGTTCCCAACTGTGTACAGTATCATTTAATTGTTGCTACCGAAGCGACATTGTTTTCTTTGTTAACTCTTAATATTAGATCAAGGAGACGATTGATAAACGTAATGTAGAAGAAGATTTTTTACAACCCCCTTGTATCTATCACTTCGTTCACGTTCAATAAGACAAGCGAAAAATATTTTTGTGACAGCGTGAACAGGTTTATTAACGTAATTTAAAGGTAGAATTAATTATTTGTACTGTCACTGCATATACAGTACATATAAGCATCGAAGGTTATTGGACAATTGCAACGCGTAAAAAGATAAGTATATTATAACAGTACGCGTAACAGTACGCGTAGCATTATGATATCCAACCTATTTTTGACAGTGGACATACTTCTCAGTCGGCTGTCTGGTAAAAACACAAGTTTCAATATGAAAAATCAAATAGTTAATGCACAGCGCTTTGAATTGGACAATCGACAACACCGAAGCCTATTATGTAAAACTTGCTTAACTGAGCGAAGGTAAAAGACAGACATTTCCCCCAATTAAATACAGATCGTGCTAGTCACGAGACTGTTGCTCCAGACTAGCTCGTTCCCATATATTAATACGCCCCATTATTAACTTGAACGGGTCTAAATCAACCGATGATGCAATATTGCATATTTAAGCTTAGAATTCAAACAATAGCAGGTATTTGAAGATTATCTTGTCTAACGGGCAGACAGTAACACTACACTATTACTATGCCATAATCAATGTACTACAATATTTATCTTATCTCATAACTACACGGATTGCATGGTTCCGGGCATATGGAACGGAGCTTCAAAAGTTTGTATCACAGAAAATTGGAATAAACATCCCCTGAAAATTTCACTTTTGACAACTACAGTTCATTCATTGATCGACACGGTTTCCCGCATACAACTCTCTCTCCACACGAGAATTCTTCTTTGATTTGTTAATACCTGAAAAGACTGACATAATAATACCCAATGGAGTCTATTCCGACACCACCTCCCGAAGTCCAACAGCAGCTACTCGTAGAACTACGAACCAACTGGCAATTTGCTGCTATTTCTCAGTTCTTCCACCTTTTCCATAGTGCCCTGCAAATGAAAGAATGGGACACGGATGTAAGCGACGCTGTAGTTTAAAAGTCTTAATTATCTGTAAAAAACGTCTGTGTTATATAAGCTGGTCTTTTTTCTCAGCAATTTGAAGAGCAGTTGGTGAAGGGAAACAAGATCGAAGTTGCTCACTTGTGTTGTCGACTATTGATAAAGCTAACCGGAAACACGAAAATTTCGTAAGTAAAACTTTTGCCCATCTTTGGTTGCGACTGCTTGCCCCCTAATCTCTGACTCTGTCGCGCGTTTTGGTTCAGCTTCTTACGGGTAAACATACTCATTTCATATTGAACTGTTTCAGAATCGATAACCTAACTCGCTATTTGCGAGCCGAATATGTTAAACATGCCCCACACAAAAATCCATGGCCCGACAGTGAGCCCCCGCAACATCTTAGTGATCTTTCACTCTCCACGCAGGTAGGCTGCGCTGTTTACAATTCGTACCAAATTGATATGGTTTACTAATCATTATAAATTCAACAGTTAGCGATACTAAAAGACCTCACAGATTGGCAATGGCGCGACCCAAAACAGTTTCGTAGTCGTCTAAAAAATCCTGACGATGTGTCTTCTTGGGTACATTACTCGATTTGTCAAGTTAACCTTTTTTCGTAAAGCAATTAATTAATCCGATGTATTATTTCACATAGAGATCAGAACCCGTTGGACAAGACGCCAAGGGAAACAAATACTGGGTATTCAAAGGTAATTGATGAATTTTGACTTGATGTTGGATTACTCGTCGAATCGAGGTTTGTTGTTTATTCTCTCGACGTTAATTCTAGATAACCGCCTATATCGCGAGCTGCCACAACCATCCAAGAGGTCAACAAAGGCAACTGCAAATGGTAAAGCGGGACGCGGCAAAAAGAACGACAAGAAAAGTAAACCAAAAGTTGAAGAAGAGGCACAAGCGACCACCGAATCAACTGGTTGGGAGACAGTTAGTATTCAAATTTTATCAATTTCTTATCACTACGACCAATGCTAATATTGCTGGCATAATGTTTTCTACTTTTATTCGTTTATATGATCTGCCTGCAGGTATGCGTGACATTGCAAGAATGGCGAGAATTTCCACGTCAGTGGGTAAAATCAAGAGGAAAGGCAGAGAAGGAACTTTACCGTACTCTAAATGAAGAGATTTTACCCGAAGTCCTTGATTATCTCGAGGTAGAATAGTATCAATTAACCAACAGACATGTGAACCGTGTTTATTATCGATTCGATACTTACAGTCTTGATTTGCATAAGGCAAAAGAGAAGGAAAAGAGACGTCAAGAAGCTCTTGCAAATAGTCGTCGAAGGTATTGGTCGTGATCAATTTCAATGTTGATATTATACTATGTTTTATTAAGCTTACGTTTCTTTGCAGCACGCGATTAGCTGTGAAAGCGATAGCGAAAGCAGAAGAGGCTCGATTGGCTGAAGTAGAACGAATGCGTATAACAGAAAATCGATCCAACGAAAATCGATCCAACGAAAATCGGTCAAACGAAAATCGGTCAAACGAAAACCGGTCAAACCATCGTTCTTGGTGACGTGTCTTTATTATTATTATTATTATTATTATTATTATTATTATTATTATTATTATTATTATTATTATTATTATTATTATTATTATGATTTGATTTTCCTCATTGTCCACTAACGGTTTTTTATATTGACACTATTACCGAATGATTATCATTCTTAGAATCCGACGTAGTCAGACACTGATTCTCTCTCTCGACCATCATCTGATTTTCCAAATCCTAGACGTAAAGACAGATGGCTTCTCTGGTAAATATCTGCCCAGGTCAATCATTTATAACGTAACTAGACAGACAGACAGATTTCTAACCAAGTTGAATTATGTATTTTTCCAAGGCAACAAACATACAAGCTCAAGAATTTGAGGTCATATTCCTAGCATCTACTATCATTCCATCCTTTTTCTTCTTGTGAGGACTTGATTCATGACTGTAAATTTAGTATAATCAATCTGTACCCAGTAAATGACAAAAAGCACTCACTGCCATACGCCGCGTGTGTTCTCATATAAGTCAATTAATATTAATGCGGGTTGTAAAATCTTTTTTTCCGCAAAATTTGCGAATACAAGGTTTTGCTATAAAAACGACAGAAAATTGAGCTATTTTTTTACACACACAAAAAAAAGAGAAAGCTTTGCGAACTTTATCCAACAGACTTACACCATTTTAAAATTCTTGGGTTGTTGATCGGAATTCTCCTTGGGTCTTCCCTTTATTGTAAAATCAACTCTGTGTATTATTATGAATCAGAAAATTGACAAAATAATCAATTCAATATTGATGGAACCCAAGAAAAAAAATAGGTAAGCAAACGTGACCATCGAAAACTTGTGGGAAGAACTTTTCGTTTAACAAATGGCTATTGAAATTCACGTAAAAGAAGGGTCTAGCTACGGAAAAATACCAGCGAGATTGATTAAACGATGAGTGTCTATAGACAGAGAAGATAATGAAAGGTTGTGACCCTCAATTTTGCAATCGCATATTTGATAGTAAAAATGATAAAATTGTGCTTACAAAAATCGAATCATTGTTGACGCACTCAAGCAGTCCACCACTACTACTGCAAGGAATGATCTTTTGTTATCTGGGTTGCTCTCCCATGGCGTTAATTTTTGTTCTTTTTGATAAATAATTTTCTAGATATTCCTGGGACCATACACTTTAAAAACATACGGAGCAATCCCCCCTCCCCCCCCCCGGCTTATAATCTGATGTAATAAAGTTTTGATTTAGTGGCACAGCTGTGGCTCATGTCTACAGTACCACCACACATTTAGTACCATAAAATTTTAATCATAATAATATAACCACCATTAGATGTATTCACAATTTGGATCGATTAAGGATTCTCTTTTCTCATTGAACGTGAAAGAAATATTGCCAGTACGATATTCTTGGCAAGTAACTCAAATAGCAACAATAAAAACTTCAGTCTTGGTCTAAAAATATAAATAGTGAAATTAATATTTTCCTGAAAAATTATGTGACCTCAACTGAAACGAAATTCGGCTCAATAGCAGACCATGTCGTTGCCTGTGATAATAATAAATGACTACAGACTACAATACAAGGTTATTTTTCTTTCACGCGATGCTCCTTAGTTGCTAGTTCATCGCCAGTGGATTGCTCTATTCTTTATTTAACAATCCCACACTTATTGATGCAACAGGTATCATATCGCTTAGTTGCAGGACGTACCCATCACCCGCCAGACGTACTATTGGGCTAGGTGGAGACAAGTTTATGCATCATGCTGGGCTAATGTGAAGCGTTTACCTATGTTCGAGAGATTTCCATGCTGATATTCTTCTAGAAATTTCTAGATTTAATTACAGAACATTAGGAAAAAAGGTCTGAAAGCATAATAATGCTATAAAACCTTCAACTATTGTTCTTTATTAGTATTAACTAGTTTAATGAGAAATTCATACTTTCTATAGAGTATCTACTGTTAACAATCAAAGCATCCATAACTCGTTCCCCCCATTAAAATTTATAAGTACAAGACGAAAATTTACTAGTAAAACATATGAAAACTCTTTATTTCGAAAATCTCTATTGTCCATACGTACTATGCAACCCACAATGATTTTGGTACTGTTTGAAGCTAATTGATTGTATCAAAGCTGTAAGTGCCATCATCATTCTTTTAAATACAGTCAATTAGCTTCAAAACAGTACCAAAATCATTGTGTACTTGGCATTTCTAATAATATAATCTTAATCACATGACCATATGCAACCTTGCACGACTTACTGGGTAATGTACATGTATTGTTAATCAGTTATAACGCGTCCTCCGAAATGTATCCTGGCCGAACAGGCAAGTATTGTAATAAAGACTAGAAAAGGACTTGTTATTAATCACTTCGCTTTTAGTTCTTGTAGATTATTTGGAAGAACGTGACCCTAGTCTTTGGTCGTATATAGATTTCTTAACCTTAAACCGTACCCTTATTGTGCAAGCACTACCGCATTTGGACAATCAGAAAGGCCTTGACGGCGCGTGGACCAAACGTTTCCTGCTAGCTGTAGAAGAAATGAGCTCAGAGTCAGCTGACGATATAAGAAGAAAGGTGATTTTTTTTTTTCGTTTAGTTCGGCAGAAAGGAGTCTCCTTGACAGGTGTTACCTGCGCTTGGATTATCAGAAGTTTTCTGATCCGAGTGATGGTGTGAGGCAACTCCTTGACAGGTGTTACCTGCGCTTGGAGCATCAGAAGTTTTCTGGTCCCACCATTGCGAACCGCTTTGTTTTGTTTCAGTTTGTTTTGTTTCAGTTTGGTTTGTTGGGGTGGTTGAACAATTAATTATCTACTCTATTTAACAAGGTGCTGGAGCATACCAACTTCAACTTGTCTTTTTTTTGGCAGAAAGTGATCATTGAAAGACTACAGGTAATACAGTATCAGCGTTAGCTTATAATTTACTATTACGTTTTTCCTGAAAGAAACATTTTATAATTAATATTAGAGTGAAACTCAAAGTATCTACGATAAGGAAACCCTTCAGACGTTTGGTGCAGCAGGTAAATTTTATGGGAAACGACTGCGCTTACCATACAAAGAGGATGCGACGTCTTCGGGCGATAAACGTGATAGCACTTTAGATTCAGATTTAATTCCCCCTGCGAGGGCTAAGAAGGTTAGCACTAAATACTTGCAAATAGTCCCGAAAAATTAAATTCCTTTTCGCCTTTCCTCACATTTCGAATGTATACAGTTAAAGCCTGATGAAGAAAACGTGAATGTCGAGGGAGTTGACAGCGGTAACATTCCCGAAAACCCTCTACAACTGACATCATTGGCATATCAACAATTCACGGATAAATATCAAAAAATTCCACAAGAAAGTAAATGGACTTTGTCAACTGGAAAAGTCGTCAAAGATGCACTATATGCATTTGGAATGAAATGTTCACACGAACAGTGAGTATTTACTTGTACTTCTTTTTACAATTTAATGGCAATTTGTTCTTATTTTTCTTTGAAAGCCTCTGCCATTCTTTCTTAATCGACCCGTATGACGAGAACTACATACAACAAGGCATCTTCACATTTGAAGAATTAAAAGAAATTAAAATTTTCGACAAGAAAAAATCACCATTAATACCAGCCGATCTTTTGAAGTATCTTAATGGCTTCCGAAAGGTGAGCTTGCAATTGTTCTACACACATTATATAACTCACTAAGACAATGTACTGTACAAAATAGTCCAAAATTTCCGACTTGCGCGAATTAATCTTTCATCCTAGTTTACATGATCAACCATTTGACCGATCAAAAAATTTCGATTATGACTAGATACGAAATACTATATATAATCTGTAAGTAAACGTTATTTTGATTGTGTCGTGACATGACTGTTAAGGGAGTTGCTATTTTATAATAGCGTGCTTGAGTATGAAGCGAATCATCTTACAAAGGATCATCTTGAAGCATGGATCATGTTACATATATGGACATTTATTGATAAAGCCTTCTTAGACATAGATGGCATGGAAATCACTAGGTAGGTTTAAAATTGGTTTACTATTATAATTGTGGTTATCTTTTCTCACTATTTTTTTGCAGAGGTGAATCATGTAGTTATGCTTCGTCAAATCGAAAAAATTCACAACGGACAGTCCCATCAACAAGTCCACTTAAAAGAAAGGCAATGGGTCGGCGTGGAGATCTAATAATCCGAAAAGGGCATTTGGAATACGGGTGTAGTGAAGCTGGAAAAAACTTTGACGGCAAAAATGGTACAAAGATCATTAAAGAAGGAGGTTTGAAAATGCCAAAAATGCTTCGAGACATGCTCAACGATCTTTGTGAGGCTGTGGAAATGCAGGAGTGTAAAATTAGAAAATTGGAAACAATCGGGTTTATCATCGCGGGTATGTATATAAGCTTTTATGTTTGTTATTTCTTGATTTGTATAACTCGATTTTATTATTTTAGGTTTGAGGATATCACTGATAAGGGTAGATTTACCAGCGGGGCATGTCTATAGGTTGTCACGAACACGGCTTTTTGAGATACCAACTCAAGTTTCTGAATTCGGTGCGAAAGTACTTCTAATAATAAGCTTGGTATGGAAAGCAAAGGTTAGTGTCATTTAGGTGGTTTATAATTTGTCTTCATTCATTTATTTGTAAACATCTTTAAAGGAAATTGTGAAAAATGTAATCAAACTAATGGAGGAAGAAGATTTATCGGCTCAAAACACTACAGAACTGTGATGATGAAAGTAATGGTTTAAGTACACCACCGCCTAGGTTAGAATTACTGTCCCAAGATGGGATTAATTCTTATTCTACCGTTAGTTGGTATTTTAATTATATAATACGTATCTACATAACAGTTAATTATCATAATTTGCCACTCGAATAATCGCGATTATTCTCCATCGATATAGGGATTAGCGGTTTCTCAGCTATACCAATAAGTTACCAGCCAGGGAATGAATCATTAACAATGTATTTCAGAGTATAAAGAACTACTCATTTATTTACAATAAAGGAATCGAGAGTAATAGAACATTCTAAACATGCACTTATTGACTGACCCTCTATTTAACTGAAATCTACGCTACTTATATATCTTTCGAGCGGACTAATTGATCTATTTTTAGCAGCTATTACCAATTATCTAACTATTATTCTCAGTATACGTTGTTACGTTTTTTACAGCGATGCTTGCTTGTATCACTGCACCATGCGCGCTGGTGTTACTGTACCGCAGAAATTTTTAGGAGAATACACGCTGTTGGGAACAATGCAACTTTTGCTTATAAAGAGGTTGTGACTATATAGAGGGTTTTTTCTATAAGTTTAATAGTAATTGGTTCTCAACATGGTGTGCTTATAAAGAGGTTTTTTATATGTGTGCTTATAGAGGGAGTGACTATAGAGGGGTACGACTGTACGTCACCGTTTATTATTATAGCGTGGCCACACTAGCAATTTTTAGCTCACATATTCAAATGTTCACTTTGTCTGGTTTTTTGTTGCAGCATACCCCATGTTATAGGCATATTCCTGTTGTCTCTGATACTGTTGTTATTGCTGGTGTTGTTGTGCCAACTACTGCAGGTGAACATTCAGTAATTGACCCTCCTGCTTAAATCGTTGTATTAGTGATCTTTAAACTGGGTTTATGTACTTACAATTCATATACTCAGTCTTGTATTATTGTAGTAGTAGCGCCCTTTGTTGTAAGTGCTGATGCAAAAATCAAGAAGCTTGCCTCTTGTAACGGCAAGCTGATCTGATAAGCAAGTCACATGGTAAAATCTTCCCAAGTTTTATAATGAAATTATATTTTTGCAATTCTTGCTATTGAATCTATGTTTTAATCTAGTTAAGCGTGAAATTATTCAGTGAATTCTCTCCTCGTTCGGCCCTAATGGATGCATGGACATATGGACAGTCCGATGTCGGAAGAAACTTGTTACGTTACGAAAAAGCGAGATTTGATTTGGCAAAGCAAAACCCACCTTAATTTTGTATTGGAACCGAGCGTGTCGTTATATCAAGACCCACTTGTATTTAGATATTTTTAGCTTTGTTTCAGGTTTTCAGTGTCGCTAAGGTATATAAGCGACCCTTATCCCATCGTAAATACCTAATCCACGGAATATTAGTAACCAAATAAACAATTCCCTTTGAAATTGAAATTTCACTTTCTTTCATTAATTATTTGATCGGACACACTAATAAACGGCTCCACCAAGCTGTATAAATTGTCCGCTGATCAACTACTAATTATTGAAACAAATTAGAGACAAGTGACGTTTTCCGACTAGTCGAAACACCAAATCCTGTTTAAATTATAAATAGATTTATCTCCTTCGTTGTTGTTATTCTAGTTATAGGGAATTAGAAAGCGCGCATTTTAATTGTTAAATTAAGTCACTTGTAGATTTAGAATTCAGTCTTAATTGAACAATTACCGTAATAAGGGCGGTAACGCGAAGCTAAATCTGGAAACATCCCCCGGTCGGAAGCCATCCGACCGTAATAGTAAAGTACATATTTGCAATTTGGGCCAGTAAACACAGATAGGAGGATGTTTAGTAGTAAAGCTAGAATGTATGATTTGGTTGGTGAAACAGTTGAAGATATCTTTGAGAGTATTCCTTGAGATTCCATCTGCTGGATTGACTCTTCAGGTATTGCACACCATGGATGTGTCCTGTGATTCCAAAGCTTGGTTGCTCCCTCCAAGTATTCATGTCTGAAAATTACCTATTGTTTATTATTATTACAATGTCAGCTGTTCCTACACATAAAAGTATAATAATAAATCTTCATTGCATCTGAATAATTTGTGTAGTTACAAATTCTCAATCGCCTTTGGTTCCCATATTACTAGCTTTTAATTTTAATATAAGATCTTTAAAGCACAGATTGGCTTTTTCGTTTTTATAGAATCTTTATTGAAAACCACTAAATATAAAACTGCTTTTAGACAGCTAGTACATGACTAAACTGAATCAATAAAGAAACTTGGCCTAATTATAATGCGTATTTATGTGGTATGTAAATGCTTAATACTAATCGTGAAGTCATCATTGTAATAAGATAAACAATACACTTTCCCTTCAGCTCGCTTCTTCAGTGCTTAAATAACGCAGAGTATTTTTATTTTCTCTGTCAGCAATATCACAGTACAGGTTAACACGTAATAAAATTCTCAAAGCGATCACGTTTTGTACAATGTAGTCTTCGAAAGCCAAGTCTCATATTATTATCAGTATTGGTATTTATCACGTGTGATAGTAATTCTAGCGAATAAATAGATTTCAACAATAACCAACTCAGAATAACTAGAAGCGCTCAACTATTCGGCATTGACGTATAAATATGTGCGGCATTCGGACCCTACATATTTGGATAATTATTAAGAGACTCTTCGATTGAAACAATGTTTGAGATAACAAACCTTCCGCCAATGGGAGAGGAACGGCTTAGCTATAGCAGCAAACAGCAAGCCAATCGTTATGACAATATACATATAAACAATGGCTTTATCTTTGTATGAATCACGCTCTGTAAAAGGAATGATAGTATATCACGCTCGTGCTTTTGCTTATTTGATCGCTATAATAATAAGCCATTACAGGCTCTGCTCAATTGTGATTATATCCCCGGTGGACTAACAACTACAGGACAGAAAAAACAGTCAACGACTTACCAAAGCATGTGCATGTTGCAGTTAACTCTGTCCCACAACTGTTGTCATCGATAGGATTGCCTTCTCTAGTCTTTAGTCCACAGAAATCTTTTCCTAATTGCTCTTCACAGAATGCTCTTGTGCAATTTGCACATTCACTGTTTGCGTTCGTCTGACTTAAAGGTATTATTTCTGGCGGTTTACCAATGCAAGAACAATTGCAGAAAGAGGTGATGTTCTCCCCTTTCGTGCTTCGAACGATAATAAGCAAGAACAAGATCCAAATAGTAATCAAAGACCATTGAGAGCGAAACTGACCGATTTTATAACCTCGGGCATGGTAGGCCGACTTATCGAAACCACGTGACCAATGGATTAAATTTTCATCGGCCGGAGATATCCCAATTTGAGAAGGGGAAAAAAAATAACAAGGTGTTTTCATAATGAAACTGAGTTGCGGTTATTGCTCTCTGTATAATTGATTTTAAACCATCTTGCGATATCCAACAATTTTCTACAAAGGCCTTATAGATAACAGCGTGGACATTGATTTCGGCTGGTGAAGTGGATGTTAGATAGTGATAAATTTCCCGGTCAATCGACATGTTGGTTATTCAAGCAAAAATGCAAAGCGTATGTTAAAATGCTTCTGTATCGTAGTGTATAGTGTCATAACCTTATAGGCGAATCTGGGAGAAAGCGGAACTGTTTAACAATTTTTTAGTCGAAAAGTTAAAGTTTCCGCTTTCTCCCAGATTCGAAGGCTACTCGTTCCAGGAATAAAGGTGTGACCTACAGCACGCGCTGTTATGACTTAAATTTTTAAAAGTTACACAGGACGCTAGGTTGAGACACCGGTGTATATAGATGCACAAGATTGACCATTATTAATAGTAAAATTATTTGTACAACAAAAAATTTTTTCCAGCATTTCCTGAGGATGCATGCACCTAATTCAGAAGAAACCGCAGCCGCTTGGTGTTATGGCACATAATTAGGGATTTATTAATTTTTTACTCTACCGCACAACAATTCAAACATGTTAAGAAAATCAATTTCTTGGTGTGCATGTGTATAATTTTTTAGATATACGAATATCGAATTTGATACGTTACAGAAATTACAATTAAAGCTGGAGTTTTTACATCTTAAAATGCAAATAACGTAATATCAGACAGGGGGGAAAAATGCACACACGAAAAACAGTGACCTGAGGTTGCACACCTCTATAGACGTTGCGCAGATGCAATGTCAATTTTCAATGCCCATTGTTCAACGTATTTTGTTTCATAAGCCAGGTGTTGAGCCTTCTGATTTTTAGCTGTCATGTAGTTTTGAAATTTAAAGTTATTGTAAATATCCTCTGGGACGACGAAAAAAATTTTGATTTTATCTGTCCCGGGATTTGCTCTACGCATTTCGTTCATGATTTTCACCAATCCATTCATGTTAACACCATGATCTGTAGTAATTGTAATCTGGAAGATTTTGTCGGGTGACACAATAAAATCAGCAGTTGGGAAATTGCAGTGGAGCGGTATAAAGAGCTCATTCTTCGATCTGTCAGGTATTTTGAAGGTATCTACATTTTGAACTCGGTGAATGCTGGGGTTTCTCTGTGTACAGAGCTCTCCCGATGAACTATTCGCGACCCCAAGTTTTTTAGTTGTGTATCGACTGCCACCTGATCGCCATAGATAGAGAACATATAGCTCGAACATTTTCCCTCTGTAGTTGGTACCATAGAAAGTATGATCAGCTAATTGCCGTAACATATATCGTGCAGTTTCTTCTGTGAAGCAATCCTGGATTTTGTCGAAGACATAACGTGAAGCAAACTTAAAGTAACAGTCCGTGTACGAATCATCACTATTCCAAGTATGGATCAAACGGCTACTGTATTTCATGTAATGACCTCCATCACGAAAGCATTCCAAAAGCTTGACCGTATTACCAAGTTCTGTAAAAGCCAGAAAGAAACGTCGCAAAGCCTTTTTTTCAACAAGATCATAGTTTTGGTTGTTGGCAGGATCATCCCATTGAATTTGCCCCTGCTGCAGTATGTATCTTGGGATACCTCCGGCCTTAAGGAAAAGTTTGCTCATCAAAGCAGGGGGTAAATTTGGGAAGATCTGTTGCTGGCAGGATGTCAGTTCATTAATACTCCAGGGAGGCATATAATATGTCATACAGTTTTTGGCATACTCTTGGAACTGTTTATTGCCATACTCATAGAGACTGTTCAGTGAAAGAGTGACGAGAGTATTTACATTGAGGACACGGGGATCCACGATGTCATCAGCTAAATACCATGCATTTTTAAAGGTCAAAACAGAATAAAAATCCTGGTAACTTCCACAACGCAAAGCACTTGTCCCCATGAAGCAGTACCATTTCTGCAGAGGATCTTTGGTTTGGAAGACGATGACATTTGGGGCTTCATCTCTGCTCTCACTCAACAGGCGGATAACAAAGTACACAAGAAAGCAGGATTTTCCAATGCCGGATGTGCCTGTGAGGTGTATGCGACCACCTTTCTTGACGATGATGTTGTAGAGATTTACATAATCAGGCCTTACAAAGAGTTGATGCATGTAAACTACTGGTAGAGATAAAGGTTCATTTGACGTGATGATGCCATTGCTTTTGGGCACTGGAACCTTTTTGTCCTTGATTGAAGAAGCAGTATCAAACACCACACCAAACAAGTCCTGATCCATCAGTGGTTGACCAAGTTTCGTGATGAAACGCACAAGCTCTTCACAGCTCAGCTTATTCAAATCAATGCGATTTCGAGTATATACATGTTCAAAACCCAATTCACTGAGAATTTCAGAAAGAGCTCTTTTTTGCCTTTTGGTTGAAGGTTCACCCTCTACAAGAAATATCAAAGATATAAAGAAGATGAAATAAAAATTCTAACTTTGTCAAAATTACTCTGCCAGCCAATAACATACCAGGCTCTGGGGCTTCACGGCAAACCAGTCACAATCATAGATGGAAAGGCAGGTAGAAAGTCAGAACCATAAAGAGGGGCAAGTGGAAAGTATAAGTTTAGTAGAAAATCGATGAGCTGTGAAATAAAATAAATAGAAAATGTAGACAGAATATGATGAATTTGCATCCTAGAAAAAAGAACATTATTGTGAAACGAAACATAATAATCTAAGACATAAGTAATAAACGGTGCGGTAATTGGCAAATGCGACGAAAAAAGCAGTGGGCGACATTACTATAAAGGCATTATTTAAAGCTATACTAACAAGGAGGGTGTGGAGTATGAAAGCGTTTATTTTTTAGAGAACAAAATACACACCAGGAAGCTCCACTATAATTGGATTATCTTTGTTAATGGGAACATTCTGTATTAAGTCTTCAAATTTCTTATTGTACTTTTGAAACAGAGGTCCATCAAGTTCAAAACGACCCGTATTTCCAGGCGTTACGAAAAGCTTCAGGGTACTGCTAGCCACGTTAAGTAATTCTTTTTCCTTGATTGAATCGCGTAAGTCGATAAGGCCATTTCCTTTCGAAAGTTCGACTCTAGATACTGCACGGCCATCATTGACTTGGTAATGGACATTGGTAGACATAGACATTATTGTGATCTAGCGGTGAAAAAACAAATTGTCAAGTTAGTGATGAAAGGCGTCCCTTCTATACCAAAACAATACTGTGACTGGTTTCCTCCACGAATGGGGTTCTGCCACTTGTAAATCTCAGAATGGTACTTACATGTGATTTGACGCGTTAATGTTTAAGAAATAGCAATAAAGTTGAGGAAAAAAAAAAGTTTGATGGCGTTTCAGATAAATACATGCCTATTGGCTGAAGGGTGACAATATGCAAGGCATTTTGGCTGAGCCAATGAAAAAAAGAAAACTAAAACTCTGGTGACATCATTATCGTTATTTCCAGAAATTACGAACAGAATAATGAAATGGAAATAAAGCTTTAACGTTAATAGGAAACAAAGTTATCTTGGTTTATTACGAATAAGCTACTATTTTTTAGTAAGTCTCGACAGTTACTCATTACGCGAATGACTGAATGTCCTGGAACATGCTAGAAAAAGATCGTACAACTCCAATTTCCATATTCCCCTATTCCCCACACAATTTCTCCCCTTTTACCTCCACCATGTCAACTCTCCTCAAGCTAGCTTACAACACTATTGCTGTCGAGGCCCAGGGAATAGCACGTATAATAAAACATTAAAAAATTTGCATAAACAAAAAAAACCTCTTTAATAGCAGATAACTTATATTATTGATGAACTATGTAAAAATTATCATAAACTAAATAACGGTAAACATTATCGATAAACTTTAATAAAACTTAAAAATTTTCTCAAAATAAAGTTCACCCGAACAGGTGCATAATTGACAAACCTGTCGAGTATTTTCTGTATTCTCGACTTCCATATTGTTCAATAATCACAAGCTGTGTAACTGTTATAAACTTTAATTTTAAAGGTACTTATTATTATATGAACGTTAAAAGAGTTTCGTATGGTGAAAGTGGAAAGAGAAGTTTTGATTGAGAGAAAAATATTTGCTTCGACTAAACAAAGGAGATATTATTATTATTATTATGCTTATTATTATTTAAGCAAACACGAGGTTTGTTGATGAGGCAGAGTTAGTCAGATCAATTGACAGTTGTACCACATCATCGGCATAACCTGTCACACATTTCGGTTGTGCCGCCCCATATAGATGTGATAATTTATTCTTCGCCGAAAAATTCAGACGGGTATTAGTATTATAAGACCAATTTCGGTTGACTCAGAATAAATGAACAGCGCACTCTTCAATCGTTCGGCCATTCGTGCGCGTGCATTCGCACGTCCCGTACGTGGGTCGTATTATCACTGGGAAAATGAAAATGGTTCTGTGAGTATATATTGTCATCAAGTATAGAACTTGGAATACCGACCATAGGCTTCTGAACTTTCACTGTATGTGGGTTTCTCTAGCACCTTCCTTTCAGTACTGCAAACAAAGGTGCTTTTGCTGTAAAGTTCATCCTCTATACTGGGACTGGGTTCTCTCTTCCATTTATTGGTACGTATACCATCAGACAAAGCGGTTGTGTCGTTAGATCTGTTGCTACCGTCTTTTAACTTTTCCTCCTTATTCCATACTATGCAATCTTACGATTCTTCATTGGAACAGCCGGTGCATGGCAATAGTAAGTAACAATGTATGAATTCGTTTATTCTGATATTAACGCTCACAAATATTCTCTTGCATATATCAGTCATAAGGCCGGAAAGCCATTATTCCATCTCGGAGAACCACCAGCCGAATAAACATGCAAATAGCGTGCCGTTAAATTGTTGTTAAGATTGACTTCTAAACGACATTATATTACGCTCTTTACAAATAATAAACCAATGGCGTCTATAATTAACTAGCTCTTAATATTACTTATTATGAACGAGTAAGCAAATGACACTTGACAAAAGATTGAGTAAAGAATCTCGAAATAATAACTGGGAAATGTTTCTTCCTCATTTCGACTTGCTATTAATTAAGAGGCGACAAGTATCTCAAAGTTTGCCAGTACGCAATTGCTTCTCATAAATTAATTTATCTACCAATATAAACCAGTTCTATCGTTCATTACCCCTCTTCTGTCTCCTCACTTTCTTCAGAGTCGTCATTATCGTAGTCAGTGCTCACCAGTGATATCGAAGGAATACGCACTGCTCAAGAGAACCGATAATCAGACAGTCAATCAGCGGTTGTATTGCATATACGAATAAAACGAATAATATACAATTACCGTCTGCGGCCCTTTCCCGTTGACTGTGCAAAATATTTTTCATGACTTCATCGATCGGTTCGTCTACTTCCTCTTCCATATTTTCCCACTCGCTGCTGCCACTAGCTTCGGCATGATTAATTGCATTCTTTCTTTTTACTATACCCAACACGCTTCCTACGTTATTTGGTTTACTGACCACAGTGTCACTCCTCAAAAACGGATCGATTTTCAACTTTGTATTAACTTTGGCCATTGCGGAAAGCTGGGCAATCTTGTCTTTAGCCGCCAGCGCCGACACTTTTGTTTTCTTGGATTCTTTTCGTGAAGAACGTGGTTCGAATATTGACGATGCTGTTACTTCCAGCTTTCGCTTTTGCGCTTGTTCTAGTACAGGGTCTGAATCATAAAAGAGTTGAGTGGTATTAATTCTGAGGTCTCACAAACAAACAAATAATGGTCCAATAAATTGAGGTAATGGAAAACACCTAAAAATTGTGTAGTTTTTGCTTTTATGATGTCATCATGTGATTCAGGCAACAAAGCTATCGATAACCCATTTCGATCAAGTATTTCCTCATCTTGCCGATTCTGTACTTCCCGCACTTTCTTATCATTCTAATAAATTCGACAATTCCTGTCAATACAACCGAACAGCGTAAGCCCAAACCGATGCTTCCAATACTTGCTCTGAATATTTTGCGCATTTTCTGTGAAAGGGTATATGGGTCGGCCCACTGCCGCTCGTTCAAACGCTGTCATCAATAAAATTAAATTTCAGTCAATCTCTCCAATTGAATATATCTCCTCGAGTGTTTTTGTCTCATAACGCATACTTGCAACTGTGTCAGCGCAGGAACGGCTGCAGCATGCTTCTGCTCGTCCTTGACTGCGTGTTCTAATTTATAAAAAGCATCTTCTGCAAGTTTTCGTGCCTCATCGTCATCTGCATACAGATCAGAACAATTTAGTTACGGATTGTCAGACGAATGCTGCACGAACTAGAAAATACTAATCACCTTTCAGTTTTATTGTCCCCGTATCCTCTGGATCCCACTCTTCTTCTTTCCGTCGCGCTCCCGACACCACTACGTATTCCGCATTCTATAAACAAGTTGGTTTATGTTAGATGCATACCCATATAAAAGTGAAATCAAGAATAATTACAATCTATAATACCTTTGGATCCGTTTGGATTTCAAACCAATTATCACACAAGTGACATTTCATACGGAAACTCCATATTGGCGTACTGTAATAGTTCCCAGCTTTCTTCTTCTCTGCATTATAGCGAACCCCTGAACAGACGTGACAGTAAAATGTGAGCGCAATTGCTGGAATTGATTGACCAGAAATACGTCAATTAACAATTTACCTTTGCCAATATGGTTTTCACAACCTTCACACCAGATGTTAAATGGTAATTCGAATCTTGAGTACGATACGTTGACATCATAGCGCCAAGCCCCGCAACTTAGGTTAACAACCAGAAAAAACACGACAAGAAGGGAACAGCAATAGGGTAAAATAAAACAAACCTGACGATTAAAATGCCCTGATCTATCTTCCGGGCTCTGTCGCCAAGTGGATGTTTCCCCACAAATTTGTTCACCGAGCCCTACAGCCAGCCGTAGATAAGTACCTATACAAGCTTTTTTAATAGATCTAGTATTAAGAGAACTGTACTAGCCTGGCTCGGATCCCAATCTGGCGGATAGTATTTATTAAAAGGTTGCATTGCAATTCCGGGAAGAACGCATGCTACGCACCAAGTGTTTTGCTCATAAACATCTTACATCCTATCATGATTGGTTGGTTAGCGTGATGAACATTTTAGTCGAAATCACGTTCTGAGTTTTCAACGCATTGATCATAATGTCGCTCGATGCAATACAGCCGGTATACGGATTTACAGTCGATCAGATAGAACGTGAGTTGGGTCAACGGACCACAGTAAGGCTTGCAAGTGGAGAAGAAATCGACGGCTATTTGTACAATGTTGACCCAATCACACATACAATTTTTCTACTGAGGGTGAGCAGAATTCAGTGACTGCAATGTGTCAATTACAGTGCTAATGTTCCCCGAAATTCTCGACAGTTGGAAAGTAAATCCATGGACAAGGAAACTCTTCCTCCAAAATACAAGCTCTCAGTAATCATGCGTCACGCTGTTGCGGCATTACAAAGTTGGAAAAGCTGAGCTCGTTTCTGATTCTATTTATTATAAAACTGACTTATTGATTCTATAACTTTTTAGTTCAAGACGGAGACGATCGTCTTTCGCAGACAGTTCTTGACTCTGTCATATCCGATGAGGCGAAAGGCTATTTTCAAAATTCAGAAAAAATTCAGCAGCGAAAAGAGAAACTAATATCTACATTTACTAAGGTTAGTGAAAAGAAAGCCAATGCTTTAAATAACCTTGTGTTTTCCTAATCGAAACCCCCCCCCCTTTAGAATAGAATCCAAATTACACATACGCCTGAAGACCCTGATATTCATATAATGGACAGAGCACATATATCACCGCCATACGTTCCGGACTCTATCCAATGTGATAGCGAAATAATTCTTAGGCGTATAAAAGATATAATTACACAAGTACCTTTGGAATAGTGTTTAGTGTTGTCAATGTAGTGGTTGTTAGAGACAGAAGGAAGGCTAATAAAGCATCTAAGCTCTAGTTCCTTATGCACTATGACGCCACTGTTATTATATGTACAGCAAATTCAATGAGGCACAATCCTCTCTAGGAGCAAAACGCTCTGCGACAGGCGGTGTTTTCGCATTAAAGGCATGAAAACTCCCTCAGCGTTCATGTGCCGTACAAGAGATAGAGAACATTCCTGATCATCCTTTGGCCATTTATAATAAAATTTTTTGTCAGAGATTTTGATAATCAGTCTGTAAACTCGATGTTTTATTTGCTGAAACTGGCATTTTTGGTCATTCGTTTTCGGTTTCTTGCTTTAAAAACAAGGTTCACGTTTACGATGGGTGAATCCTTGGATTGTAACAAATTGTACAAAAAGGATCACATCGAAGCAAATCTCTTGGATGAGGAGAAAAGCAGTTCTCGTTATAGAGGACTTCCAGTAAAGACCAAAACAATCTATGAAAACTGGAAGGTGTTCTCCAAGGAAGGACATCTGATGTTCAGATGCAACTAGTATGTTAAATAATGAACCAATGCTTCTCCTTGGTATATAAATAGTGAAATATCGGTTTGTTTTTTCGCGCCTAGCAAGAAGGCTCAATGGTACCTCACCAGAGGATTGGCTAAACAGCTAAGTGATGATTCCATTGGATTGAAATTCCAACCCAAAGGACTTGGTCATCACGGAGATAGGTATCATCTAGAAGAGAAGATGAATATCTGTGTGTGTTGTGGAGCCAGTCAGGATTTGACTATGCACCATGTCGGTAGGTGGGATTATTAACAAAAATAAACTTTAATTCGATTGCAATAGAAGCCGCTAAGATGATGGTTAATCCTGAATCACAATTTATTCCAATGCGAGTCTGTATGTTATTTCCCTTTACAGTCCCGGAAATGTACAGAAAATATATGCCAACTGCCATTAAGTCTCATGCGGTAAGGACTAGCGACAAATAGAGTAACCTATTTCGATATATAGGTACTAATATTATATTTCCCTCTCTTTTATAGAGTCACGATGTACTTCCAATGTGTAAGGCCTGTCATACACTATACGAAAGTAATGCATTCGAGTTCAAACAAAAAATATCCGCTGAATATAATATTTCGCTGAATGGGAGAGGAAGAATTCCTCTTCCACATAACAGAAAGGTGAAAAAGGCCGCGTCCGCACTGTTAAGGCATAGGCAAAGTTGCAAAGACTTGGTGAACATTACTGTGAGCGATACTAAGAGGAACGTAAAGCTTATTCCGAGAGAAAGAATAAAAGAGTTGGAGAGCATCGTCCTTCAATGGTGGAACCAAATGGAACGCGACTCGTTATCGCCTCGTCATGATAATGCAGACATAGCACATAGCTCAATTACTATTCGACGTTTGGATGACATGTCTGATATTCCTGACTCTGTTCTTGAGATAGCTGTCCAATTGCTTGATTATCGATTATCAGACGAGTTTATCGAGCACGGAAAATTCGTTGTGAGTGAACTAATGAGAAATCGTCAAAGCGTCGTGGTTACTGAGAATGGCAGAGAAATATTTGATGAGACGAGACATGACTTAGCTGACAAAAGAGATCATTGGCCCAATTTAGAATCTTTCGTTATTAAATGGAGAGAGCATTTTGTAAAACACACAAACCCTAAGTTCTTATCAGATAAATGGAAGATAGGTGACTCTATTTATACGAATGTAGTAAATTATTAATTAAGTAAATCTATTGAAATAGGAGAGGAAGGCAAACAGAAGCCGTGTTATGATTAAGAGAACGTAGAGTAGAGGTGTGCAATATCCCATAGATGATATCGACAGGTTACGATCGTAATTACAAGACAAAGCGAAAGGTGGTGGGTATAGAAATTGGTACAAACCTTTATATTTATTTTACATTATAATGATATTAAGTAAATAAAATGGTATCTCTGTTACGGCAGAGGGTTAATATTTGAATATCCAAAGAAAGATCGAAAGAGAGATACGTTTCTTTTTAAATAACTCCTTTGTTATAATAGACCAAATGATGTCAGGATCGCATCATTGTCAAATCCCATTATCGCCGTATGATACCAAGGTTGTCGATGCTGAGTCTGTTATTAGGTTGACATACTTTGTCCATTCCAACTTACACTAAATTTTCTTCCTTGTTTCCCAATCTTGTAATCTTAATATAGGCATCCGTCCCATACCCATCCATACTAAACACTATCAAGCCTCCGCCCCAATACTCGCAGTAAACTTTGCTCATAGGCAAACCAATGCCTAATTTCAACATCGGTGGAATAATCTCCTCCTGTCTTTCTCTCAACGTAGCAGCCATCTGAGATACTTTGTCGAGATTGGTGAATTTGTTGAATTTCAAAGAAGGAAAAGACCAGATATGTGGATATATGGATTCAGGAATTCCACCTCCTTGGTCCGAGATACGGAAATATATATCGGTAGGGGATGACGAAACTGTCACGCTTATATGTGGATAGGGCGATGTTTTGGATGCCGAAGTAGAGGAGGGCGCAAGTGGACGCGAATGAGGGATCTTTTCATGTGCAAAGTGAGGACGAGAAGACGGTTGGGCAGATGAAGGATTAGCTTCTATTTCTTCTGTTTCGTTGGTATCCTGCGTAGCCTCCGGGACTTTTACATCCGATTTCGTGGCCTCCATCACATTATTAACAACCTCTGAAGAATGTGTTTCAATGACTCCCCTAATAGAATTCTTCAACAGCTCATACAGGACATACTCTATATGATCTGGAATATACGTAAACACGACATTCTCACGGCCATCAAACACAACTTCGGGAGGTTCGACTCCATAGTAAGTACGGTATGCATCTCTTGTCACGGTCGCACATCTCTCCACTGTGTCCCTTGCATTACATTTCGTATTAACAACACCAATACGCCCATCGGAATAGAATCCACTATGTCCATACTTGTTCCAGTTCGCGGTCAAAGCAATCTGCTGCTCAGCCAACACTCTTCTAGATATGCGAGAACGTAGCATAGTATACATAAACCTATCTATTAACCCTTGCGATATGTGATTAGAGCATTCCATCATTCCTCTTGCCAATTGCGGAAGTGCAACAAGATGTTCGCGTAGAAGGCCCTTCAATGTCTCACAAAACATATGGTTGTCCTCGATAGTTTTTATTTCAGGAATACTACGTAGTCGATCAAATGCCGACCAATATAACTCATAAACAGTGGAAATGTAAGAGTTGGTACCAACTATGAATGGAAGATTTTGAAAGTCACGTATTCTGTGAGCAAGCCTCACGGGGAGTTCTTTTCTCACATAGTTGCCACTTTGTATTAATTTATCTTCGTTTAGGTTCCTTCCGAAAAACGCTAGCTGACGAAGCGTTATAGTTTTTGCTGACTGAGATGCATACTGATCCAAAATTCTATTCTGATAAAAGTGTTGTGGGGAGATGGTTCTTCGTGCCATTCGGTTCGAAGTTTCATGTGACTTTTTTAACAGTAGAGGAGATTAGAGGAGACGAAGGAAGGTACTATTCGGACGTGAGGTTGAAGAGAGGGTGTCGACTACTGAGTCAGTGTCGTTGTAAGCGTTGCCAATTGCGAGTGGTCTTACTTACATGTCGTACTGGATAGTACAGTTTGGATGCAGAGGAGCGCTCTCTTTGGAAACAAATACAGTGTCGCATTTGTGAGAGATAATCAATATAAAGACAAATTCTGGGGGTTTTTTTATCTAAAATTTTTGGTGATTTTACGCGTCATGTGATGTCATAATTGGAGAATGTTATAAATTATATGCGTTCAAGGACTCATCTTATAAATATAAGGCGTTAATAGTTAAGCTCCAGGATAGACATTAACATCATAATTAAGCCCAGAAAGTAGATCAACTCCAGTATATTTCACTATCATTCTCTGTACATGCATAGTATTTGTTTACAGTATTTATGAATGCGCGACCACCTACTACTACCCCTGTTTACTTTGATTGGTGTAACAATAACCCTGAACGGCTAAATAAAGCAATCTTTGATTATCGTTTTTTACCTGAAACTTCGATATGACTACAGCTACAAACGAAGTGATACCCATAACTCTACAAGAGAGACTCGAGGTTGGATAAATGTAGCATTTCAACCTTTCGTAAAATTCATCGTATAATTGTATGTTTATATGATTAGCATATGCTGCTCTGCAGTTATCTAATTACGCTATAGACGACGAATACATTCGTTCTGAAACCTGTAACCTTGCATCAGACCGCTTTATCGTCGTATCCAACAAAGAACAAGGAAAAACCAAGGCGATAATAATAGATCTTCAGGACACAGACAACGTGAAGAGACATGCTATTAGTGCTCAGCGAGTGATTCTGAGCGACGACGGACAGTTCATAGCTCTGCAATGTAAATGTATTGAATATTGTTGAGTCGATTTAATTGTCGCATACTTGTATTCAAAATCGATATTGTCTATCTTCATATTCACCAGCAAACAAAGTAATCCAAATCTTTAGTTGCATTACCAAAACTAAAACTGGAGATCATACGTTGGATGACGCACTGGAATATTGGAAGTGGCTTAACAACACCACTTTAGTAATCGTAACGAAGTGGTCAATATACTATTGGAAGGCTGACTATATAAAACCCAAGAAGGAATTTAACAGAAATGAATCATTGGCATACACTCAGATCATCAACTATGTGGCTAGCGAAAATCTTGCGTGGGCTGCTGTTATTGGAACTAAGATTGGTGAGGTAATGATTACTAATAACAAAATTTGCCCATAATATTTGACGAGTTTATTTATTGAGCGCTTTTTTTTCAATAGGATCACGAAAACGTTGGCAAGATACAGTTGTGGAACAGGCGGCATAAAATTAGTCGGGACTTTGATGGAACTGCAGTTGCATTTTTCGTATTTTCTGAAGAAGTTAACGGGATTAATGTTAACAAACCGTTGTTCGCAGTTGCATCAAGTACCAGTTCTAATACCGGAAGTGTGAGTGAGAAATTAAGCAATAAGATTATGAACAAACGTCTACATATACAGTCGCATTATATTGACGAATGATTTTACCGATCAACAGCTTCGTATATTTAACACAATCGAAACGTCACAATTATCCCGTACCGATAAATACTGTGATGAAATTCCAATAAATTTCTTGCCAGGAGACTGTTTTATCGATTGTGTATTCAGTAAGGAGTACGGATTCTTCTTTCTTGTTACCAAGTTCGGATTCATCCACCTTGTTGATGTTGGGTCCCAAGCTCTTGTATATACGGGCCGAATTAGTACGACGGAAATATTTAATGTTAGTGCGCTTCAAGACAGTAACGGATTACTTTTTGTAAACGATGGAGGACAGGTATGAAGATTTAGGTTGGTCTATCGTAAGTTCAGGATACTAATTAGGATTATTTTGTATTATTATTAGTATATTGAATTTGATTTATCTACGTTCGCATTCAGGTATTATCTGTGACTGTAGATGATTCCACGCTGTTGCAATACATTGTAGAATCTCTCTGCAAACTTGATATTGCTATACGTCTGGCTGCTCGTCACGAATTTCCTAGCATGTCTGTGCTAATGACTAAACTGTCAGAGACATATTCAGAAAGCAACCAAAGAACGCCCGGCATTTCAGAAAGTAACAGCACCATGATATCATCATCCAAGGAATACTTGAAAAACAGCCAGATGTATCTACCACACTATAATGAAGAAGCAGATATTTTGGACCGTGTAATTATAGGTCACGGTGGATTTGGTGTGGTATGCAAAGGAAAGATAAGACAGTCGGGACTCATAGTCGCGTTGAAAGTCTTGGTACCTAGAAACGATGATACCGATTCGGAGTTGTATGAGGCATTCGTTCAAGAGGTTTGTTACAAGTCACCTTTTACAGATTTGTTCTCCTAACGAAATGTTACATAACAATGACCCATTTATAATATGCTAGCTCAGACTTCACAGTGTTGTGAACAATCATCCAAACATTATTCGATTATATGGTTTGAGCAAGGGTATTTCTGATTCCCAGTTTCATTGTTTCCTTTACTATCTGAGAACACATTAATAATCGCATCAATTCATACTGACAGATAATGCCGGTAAATATGGTATGCTTCTTGAGTATGCAGCTGAAGGAACATTGCGCACGTATTTGGCGACACACTACGCGTCGCTGGAATGGGAAGACAAATATAAGTTAGGCTTGGATATTACCAACGCATTGAAATTTCTACATGGGCGGCAAATAGTACATAAAGATCTGGTATAGTATTTATTGCGTATGGTTCCAACTGTCTCTGTCGGTTGATACTTCTATTATTTAGTGACCTTGAATCGTGGTTACCGTTTCTAGTGCTCCACCAATATTCTCATGGTTAATAAAACTGCGAAACTGGCTGATTTTGGTTGTGGAAGGGATATTACTCAAATAATGCCCACTTCCGATAGGAAGGGGAAAGCAGCCTACATGGATCCACTAAGTTTGAAGAATATATCCTACTCCCGTGGACCAAAATCTGATGTTTTCAGCTTGGCCGTGCTTTTGTGGGAAATATCAAGTGGAGAAATGCCATTCAAAGGTTGTCGTGAAACCGAGATAGAGCTGCTCAGATTTCAGGGTGTCCGCCATGATCCTGTTGTCGGGACACCCGAAGGTTACATTGCGTTATATACTGAATGCTGGGATGAAATGCCTGATAACAGACCAAGCAGTGAAGAAGTACATAGAAGATTGTCATTTTTGTCTCACCGGCAACCAACCGTATATGGTATTGACCAATAGTAAGATGTTAGAATGTATAATAAATGATTGTTTTAGTTGTACTTTACGTTCAATATAAGTTTTTCTATTTCAACCTTGAGTTCTACAAATGCGAATCTTAGTTTTGATAAATATTTTACATACCAGACTTGCTAAATGAGCATGTCTAGCCATTAATAATATGAAACTACCATCCACACTCCTCGGTCTGGTAAAAGAACCTCTTGACAAACGTGATATTAGAGTTACCATCATTGATATTCATAATTTTTGCATCGTCAGGTTTAAGAAATATGGGCAATGAATGGATCCTCCGGTTAGAGTATATCGAATAATGCTACCGATCAAGTGGGACATATTCTGCCTTTATTGTGGGATTTATATTATAGGTCAATATACGTACTGTATATTGATCAAATATTTAGCTTTGCTCTAAAGGTTGGCTCAATTCTCGTTATCGTACTGCGAGTGGGGTTGGCAAACACGTCAAGCAAGTTGAAGATGTCCGCAGATTACCAGAAGATCTAATATCCGATCTTAACCTAAAGCGACTATAAAAATGGGAAAAGGGAAAAGAGCGACCGTAGATCGACCGGGCATTAGGATCGATCTTGTATGGTTAAAGCAGCTAAGCAATAAATACATGTACATAAATGTTCCAGTTTTTCAGCTCATATTTTATGTGCGATCCTGATGCTCGATTCACCGAGAGTGAGACGCTTAATAATTGGTTTTTCCTAATATCAAGTTATTATACATCGTGTGAACACGTCAGATGAAATATTATCCCATAAGAAAACATAATGATACAGATCACTTTCTTCACCAATATGTTTCTAACATTAATTCAATTTGCATGATTATAGCATGCTGGCAGTTCGATATGTAGTTTTCATCCTAAATTTCTAAAAAAAAAAAAGAAGGTATTAATACAAGGTATGAATGGCTTATTATGATCATTGTTTTAATATTAATATTAATATAGTACAAGTGGCTCTTGATATAGAATGTGAGTCGGGCCCAACAAATTTACTTTCTTATATTGAAAATCTCTTATATCGAGAGCCACTCGTTATAATAGTATCGTATTGAGCATTGACCGCTTGTTGTCTCAGAAACGAGCAAATATCCTTCATAGTACCGAAATATATCATAATCTTGGGATCATAATAAATTCTTTACACCAGCATCAAGCCTATCCGTGTCTTATCTTTTGTTTATTAGACGTTGCAAAGACTCTCTTTACTAATAATACGGAACTGTCCACTTTAAATTATCGCGTGAGGTAAACATATCGATGTGCAGCACATAAACTGCTTGGACTAAATTATTAATTAAACTCCCATGTTATATTTAGACTGTATGAAACGCGATTTATTTTTATACGTTGTCTATATCTACTAGTTGCAAACAACGTAATAACGGAATTTGCAATCGAGAACATTCGAATTGTTGGAAAGGAGAAAGCTTACAACTCAAAGCCACAAGCTAAACAATAATTAAGACTGATATGATAGTGTACTTGTGATTGAAAACTTGAGAGAATTTTCTTTTCAAATTTCGGGGATACAACCACCATCGACAATATAGAATACTTTTGTCAAGTAAACAGATAGTTATTAATTTTAATATTTGACGGTTATAAACAAGTCCAGAGTTAATCAGATAGATCATTTTGCATGCCTGCTTAGTGATTTGGAACTTGATAAAAATAAAACTGGTAAAAATTTTATCACAAAAATGAACGCACAAATCAACTTATTTTGTCGAAGTTCTTTGTTCTTAGTTTTCCATGTTTGGTTTCGGCAGAGGTCATGGTACTTGCTTAAACAATTATTACACTACTACTACGTATGAGTATGTACTAGTGCTTTGCATTGTTGATTATATTGTTAGTCAAAACATATGTAAATGTTTCATATTCAAAGAAAAAAAACATATGTTGTTAAATAAGAAATTGCATTTTAATATAACATCTATGGTAAAGTTTTACCATTACGTAGATAAATATTTCAATAATGTTATAAAATGATAGATACAGTTCACTACACGTTATATACTATTATAATAATCATAGATTTTAACTGAGTAGTGTCGAGTCGTTGCCATGAGAGAGCGATTGTGTTGCCATGAGAGAGCGATTGTACATCAACCCTATGATTGAGTTTCTTCAAGCAAGGCTGTCAAATCTCTACTAAGGTAAATCTGTAAACAACAAGTTAGTGACCTTTTAACTGAGTTCAATACTGACTCAAGGCTTGTATGTCCCGCAATTCTCGGTTGCTTATTAAACTGTTACTCTCGACAGCTTGCAGTATATTAAAGTAAACGCGCTTGTAGACAATGAATTAGCAATCATATTCTGCCAACACAGAAGATCGATAGCAAAATCTGCGTTTTGCACGTCACGCTACCGAGGCGGAATACGAATTATTTACTATTCCGATAAAAATATAATTATTGAGTACCAAAGAGCTACTCTGATAATAATAAATAAGGACCTAATATGTTGATTATGAAGATGATGTTAGCTATACATTCTATCGTTCACTAGCTACCTTCTATTTTTAGAATTAATTAATTAAAGCATTGATTTAATTAATAGTTATAATAGGTACTGAAAATGGCGATTTTACGTGCAACCATTGTACATCAAGACTGCCTGTGTCTTTTGGTGGTGGCTCCACCTTGAACATAGGCCCCTGTATCTTAATCTGGGGAATCATGACATCATGAAGAATTGGTGCAGCTGACTCGGTATCAGTTACTACAAATTACCATTACAATGTGTAAATGATAATCATTCCTTCTGCAACACATTATCAAAAAGCAGATAGTCAATAATGTATTAAATATAAAAACTGACAGTGACATTTGTCAAACCAAATTAAGCAATTCTTCTTTTACTAATGCGGAAATTGATAGTGACCATTCAAACAACACTAAAACGAAACCATAATGACGCCATAGAAGTTAGTAAAGATGATCTGTTACTCATACGGGGACAAACAAAATCAACGAAGTTTATCGCACAAATCATGTGGCTACACAATTTTCCTATGTGTTCTTTTCGAATAATAAACCAATATAGCGTCTATAATTAACTAGCTCTTTATTACGAACGAGTAAGCAAATGATACTTGACAAAAGGTTGAGTAAAGGAATCTCGAAATAATAACTGGGATATGTTTTTTCCACATTTTCGACTTGCGCGATTAATTAGGACGCGACAGGATCTCAAAGTTTGCCAGTACGCATCTGCTTCTCATACATTAATTTATCTACCAATATAAACCGGTTCTATCATTCATTACTCCTATTCCGCCTTTTCACTCTCGTCGGAGTCATCATTATCGTAGTCAGTGCTCACCAGAAATATCGGAGGAATACGCACTGTTCAAGAAAACCGACAATTAGACAGTCGATCAGCATAGTTGTACTTTACGTTCAGTACAACTTTTATAATAAATGCCAATGTCAGTTTAATAAATACCGGATTTGCTGAATAAAGCCTTTAATAATATGAAACCGGTAAAAGGAATCTCTTGGCAAACTTGATATTAGGCATACAGAATATTCGAGTCACCTGTCTCTCATTTTTGTTCATAATTTTGGCATTGTTGTTCGTTAGGTTTGAGATATATGGCCAATGATAATGAATAAATCTTCTGGTTAAAGTATATCGAGTAATGCTACAGAGGACAGCAAGCTATCGATCAAGTGGGCACATTCTGCCTTCATTGTGGAATTTACACGTACTGTATATTGATCGGATATTTAGCTTTGCTCAATTATCGTTATCGATACTGCAGGAGGGTCGTCAAAGCAAGTTGAAGCTGTCCGCAGATATTATGTAGTCAAGAATGCGATTATAAAATGGGGAAAGGAAAGAGCCCCCAAGCAATAAAACTGTTCCAGTTTTTCAGTTCCTATTTTATGTGCCGATTCTGATGCTCGATAATATTTGGTTTTTCCTAATATCTAGTTATTATACATCGCGAACATGTCAAATTTTGTGCCGTTGAAAATATTAGGCCCCCTAAGAAAACGTCACTTTCTTCATCGTCTGAGAGAACATGTTTCTACCATTTTGAAAGTGAAGCTGGAATATAATTCAAGCATAACAAATGTAACGTCAACACTATGCCTGTTTAGACAGAGATCAACGCAACGTGTAGATTATCTCAAAAACTGATTGGTTAATATGGTCCGGTGCAAAAAGATAGATACCTCAGATTATTGCAAATAAATTTTTTAAGAAAAATTTTTTCTAAAAT